CGTGGTGGCCAGGAGAGAGCAATGCAGCAAAACCCATAGTTGTACTGTACTACGTTCATACATCTTTGTGCCCCGCCGATTCTGGGGTCGAACAAATGTTGACCATTGTGTGAATGATGAACGGCGATCAAACCAAATACCGTACACACACTGGCCCTTGCCATGAGCAGACAGAGACCATGGGATTATTGTCTGAGCGCTGACAGCAGGCATGCGCACCATTCCCAGAGCCAAGCCACAACATTTACAATCTGAGTACGACGTTGGGCCAGCAATTACAACTAGCTTCATCAGGCGACAGCCAGATTTATGAAGAAGTCCACCTGTTTCGTTCCTTATATATAAGCTAGTTGTAATTACTGGCGAAACGCCGTACTCAGATTGTAAATGCTGTGGCTTGGCTCTCCAACACACCGGTGTGCTGTACTAGTGACGAATTGTCACGTTCCGTTTACGTGAAAACCCTTACTAGTTAGCTGTGTCGGGTGGTGGCGGATTTTAACGACACATTTATATATTTACGCGATCTAACCCAAAACACCTCTATTATGGATGATATTGGTCGCGAAAGCCTACGTGTTAAACTGTTTCAATGTCGATAGCTACACTTGTTGTAGGTGCTTGTCGCAGTTGTGTTGTGTTGTACAGCTCACCGATGCGTTTTCTGGGTTGTTACCGCTTCTTGTTCTTTGTGCACGATGTCGGCGCTTTTCCCTCTGCGTGCTGAGAGCATCTTCAGCATTCATTCTTTCTTGGGTGTCTTCAAGGAAGAAACAAGTCCAATAAAAGTGCGTGAAAAAATGTTCCCAGCACAATTAGTAAGAAAAGTCGGACGGATGTAGTGCCCAACAACGCGTGCTGATCAAACCAGACAAAAAAAAAGCACACCACTGCTGCTTTTCAGGCAAGTAAACACAGGGCTGCCCGTGCTATCGCTCTAAACAGGGCTGGTTTATCGCCACCGTAAATTAATGACGCATTGTACACGGTCCGTTAATTGGCAGACACTGTGGAGCAGGACTGTGGTGGGGTCAGGAGGACCATGTTTGTCAATTGTTAAATTGACGGTGGCAATTTAAGCTTGGGGTACAAACGACAAAAGGCAAGGGTTTATCATTCCCACGGCTCTTTGAAAGGGTTGAACGAACAACACTTAATTCACCCCGTGGTGACGAATGACAACTGTAATTAGGATAACAAAATAATTTATTAATCAGACAATGTCTCCACAAATTCGTCTCAACATTCAAAATATATCAAAATATGTATTACACGACCCAACTGCACAGCCTTCTGGGAGTGTGGTCGAGTAAGTTTGAAATTCTAAAATATTATGACAGCCTGAACATTCAAAAAGTAAACAAGTCTTCAAATACAGTGGAGCAAATGCTGTCAGCAAGAATCTGTCGGAGCTCGCATGGCTATCTGCCTCTGTCCCTCCAGCACTGATGTTTACTCAGCACACCAGCAACTAATTTTAGACTCGACCAGTTTCAGATACTAATTGGTCAGAAATCATACCTGGGTCTCCAAGCTTTTAGCGCATTGCAATAACCACTTTGCCACAACTTTCCTATAAATATTGCCGCACGTGTGCATGCATCAACCACCACCACATGTGCAGAATGTACGCGTATACAATCACCAAAAATGTAAATTTACATCACAGCCACACACGCACGGGTTCTGATATTTGACCGAATATAATTAGTCGTATAACTTTATCAAATCGTGCCACATGCTATGGGCACATGCTAACAGTTGCATTTTTACAGGATGTAATAATTAACTCCTACCCAATACAAGATTACATTTTTGAGTAGAGCCTGAATTTTTTAAAAATAATTCCATCACTCACCAACTTGCAGTGACTGTGGACATTCTCAATTTTGGCTTTTAGAAGCCAGTTTAATTTTTGGTTCTTTCGGTAAAGTCACGTAAAAAGGAAAACAATAAAATAATAAAAATATAAAACAATATATAAAAACAATTTATTGTTTTATATTTTTAGAACCAAGAATATGAATCCGTGCAGTCACGAAAGCTTTAAATTAAAATTCAGTTTAATTTTATTGATCCATATTTTGAAGCTAATATATAATTGCGGATTCACAGCACAGAGTGTGTAACAAATAGTGCTGCTGACAAATAGGTCCTCCGGGCTCTTTACTTACCAACATATTACCTGTGAGTGATGTACACAGGTGCAGCAAACCAGTTGGGAGACAACTTTTAAAGTTTAAGTGACTCCTTGCTAATGGGGTGGCAATAATTTATTTCTGCCGGGGACCCCGTCACCAGTGGCGAATATTCCACATTGCTATGGCGGCGGGGCCATCGCCTTCATTGGATGCCCACCGTTTGACTGCACAAAGTGGCAACATTTTATTCAGGCCCAGAGATGAGGAACTGAGTCAACCTCTAACCGTAAATATGAGCCAAAATGTTCAGATTGCGATTCATGCTTTCCGCAAAAATGTAGGGAAAGCAAACTAGTGTATGGGCTGAAGCATATTTATGAAAAATGGGAATAGGTTTTACCCTTTCCGACAATAAAACAGGTGACACTGGTGATACTAGGCCATGGAGAAGGCTGTCTCTGGTGTAGGCCAATCCGTTTCAAAGACAATGCATATATTATTATTAGAGCATGTTTGTTTGCATGTTCACCACAAGTACGTGTGGTTAATGCAGACCTGATTACTTGCAAAAAGGTATCTATTTTGGTGTTTGAACATCTTAACACCTGTTTTATTGCCAGAGAGGGTAAAACCTATTCTTATTTGTCATACTTTTATACTGGGAAAAAAAATCCCATGACATGAAGCATATTTGTTGATGTTTTAGTTGATTGGATGGTTTTGTAACCATGTCAGTTGAAAGATGCAGCAGCAGCAGAGAGAAGTGGAAAGAGTACTGCAGGGAAATACGGGTGAAGGGCATGCTCATGCCCCAGAGACCATTAATGGTCAAGGGACGAGAAAAATAGTTTATTGGCAGGGACGCATTGTGCTTATGATCGGTAATGACGATGAAGGCAATATACAGTCATGCAAGTGGATTGCCATCAAATCTAAATATTGCACATAAAGCTCTGGTGGCATTTGAAAATAGGCTTACAATAAATGTTTTAAAAGGAATTTGCAAGGTACAATTCTTATTATACGCGTAGGCTTTGTTTTTTCGCTCCATGCCCGTGCGGTCCGGTTGCAAATGTAACCCCTTCGCGCTCATTGTCGCTCCGCGCACGAAACGCCGCAAGCACTGCTTACAAAACACCACGAATCTTAACAAATCTACATTTACACGAGATCGTGTAGAACAAGGGGGGGGGGCGCGTGGGTGGGCAAAGGAGCACAACCCCCACTACGGGAGACTGAACCCGAGCACCACACACACAAAAGACAAAGACTCCCCGGATAGCCTTAACAGAATGTTGGGACAAGTGCTGTTAGCGAGCACCTATGAAGGCCGGAACGGCACACGAGGGGGTGGGTGGCGAACACCACGCCCGACCGCCTTTGTCTCCCCAGTGGCGATGATTACACATCCCACCAGGTACTCAATTGAGGTCCAACTAGGGGAGGCCCATGACCGGTTCAGATAATCGTCACCGGTGTTGGCCGTGAGCGGGAATCGAACCCTGGTCGCCGGGTTCGTATCGCAGCGCGCTAAGCACTGGATAACCGCTCCCCACACACTATCCAAACACCCCCCCCCCCCCAACACACAGAGACTCCCACACAAAGCCACGAAGACAGACGCGCAGAGCGAGCGATAAACACATCACACAGGCCAGTGAGCCACACAATGACCCCATTTGTTGGCACAGGATCCACGAGTGACTTCCGTAACGATGCTCCACTTGCTGAAGCAGGGTCGGTCCCAGGATTTCGCTCCCTTCCCAACCCCCCGCTGCTTACCCCCCCCCGTTTAATGAATCACAAAGCAGAGCTTTTAGCGATTGCTCTCTACGGTACGCTGTGTTGCAGGTGTGAGTCCATGTGCGCGCGCGCGCGGTGTTCTATTTAAACAGCGCCGCGTATCGCCGGCACCTGGCGACCCGGGTTCGATTCCCGCTCACGGCCAACACCAGTGACGATTATCTGAACCGGTCCCGGGCGTCCCCTAGGTCGACTCAGCCTCAAATGAGTAGATGGTGCGATGTGTAAACATTGCCACTGGGGAGACAAAGGCGGTCGGGCGTGGTTGTTGGCCCCCCCACCCGCCCACTCGTGTGCCTCAGTGCCGGCCTCCGTCGATGCTACTCGCTAACAGCACTTGCCCACACAGTCCGTCGAGGCTACACGGTGGTGGGGAGGGGGGAAGCTTTGTCTTTGTTGTGGCGTTTAAAGAGCGCGCGTGTTGCCGGCGCACTCTGGGAGCGCAGCAGCAGCTACAACAGCTACAGCAGCAGCTACAGCAGCAGCTACAGCAGCAGCAACTACAACAGCTACAGCAGCAGCTACAGCAGCTACAACAGCTACAGCAGCAGCTACAACAGCTACAGCAGCAGCAGCAGCAGCTACAGCAGCTACAACAGCTACAGCAGCAACTACAGCAGCAGCAGCTACAGCAGCAGCAACAGCAGCAGTTGCAGCTACAGCAGCTACAGCGGCAGCAGCTACAGCAGCAGTTACAGCAGCAGCAACAGCAGCTACAGCAGCTACAGCAGCAGCTGCAGAAACTACAGCAGCAGCTACAGCTGCAGCAGCAGCTACAGCAGCAGCAGAAGCTACAGCAGCAGCTACAGCAGCAGCAGAAGCTACAGCAGCAGCTACAGCAGCAGCAGAAGCTACAGCAGCAGCTACAGCAGCAGCAGAAGCTACAGCAGCAGCTACAGCTGCAGCAGCTGCCGATGCTGCTGCTGCTGCCCGTGGCGAGCAAGGTGGTGCTGATGCGGCTGTGGCTACTGCCGCTGCTGTTGGTGGCGGCGGCGGCGGTGGCTCCGCTCAGCCTCGCTGCTCACAGCAGCGAGAACGGTGATGATGATGATGATGCTGGTGATGCTGGTGGTGGTGTGAGCCTGCCGCTTGCTCGTCAACATCCCTTCACGCACGTCGCTTTCAGCGCTGTTCTCTTCCACTCTCTCTCTCTCTCGCTGTCTGTGGCCGTGCTTGTGAATGTCACGTGCTGGTTTATTATGCCTGCGTGCTGTTTAGCCGATTGCACCGCTGCCACGTCCGTTTGGAACTGTGATTGTGAGTTTGCGTGGAGATGCTCATTTGTTTTCATCTGTGTGCGCGGTCGCGTGAGCTTTACAAATATATATTTGGTTGCATGTGTTAGTTAATGTGTGTGTCGGGTAAGTGTGGGGAGCGGTAGTGTAGTCGTTGGCGCGCTGCGCTACAAACCCGGCGACCCAGGTTCGGTTCCCGTTCCACGGCCACCACCAGTGATGATTATCTGAACCCTGTCTTGGGCCGCCTTTAGGTCGACTCAGCCTCAAACGAGTACCTGGTGCGTTGTGCAAACATCGCCGCGAGGGAGACAAAGGCGTCCGGGCGTTCCCGGCCTTCATAGGTGCTCGCTAACAGCACTTTCCCCCAAAAGTCTGTTAAGGCCAATATGGGTACCCGGTGCAGTGTGTAAATGTCAGCATTGTGGAGCATTGGGAAAGCGGACAGCACTAGCCCCAACAGTCTGTTATGTGTGAGAGATTTGTCTGTGATATGACCTGCATCTGTTTTCTCTCTCAGGATCGTCGAGCGCGCACTGGACACACCGTGGTATGTAACATTGCACGACACAATGTTACTTTCAACAAGTGTGTGTGTGTGTACACGTTTTCCCGTGCAGCAATAACCGTTAACATTGCCGCGTTATCAAGCCAAGCGTGAATGCACCGCTGCACGATACGAGTGGCACTGATAAGGCAATTCGGGGCGTTTGCGTGAATACTTGCAGGCAGGTAGTTTCCACGAGGTTCACTGGGTTCTCATCCCCGGCCTGATGCATGCTCATGCTGAAATGCTTTGGAGAACAACACGCGTGATGCAGCGAACGTGCTGTTTTCAGTTACTCTTTGGTTCTATTTGGGTAAAGTCACGTAGGTGAAAATAAAATAACAAAAAAATAACAAAAAATCACGACGTTTCGGCCACAACACAAGCGGCCTTCATCAGGTGAAGGGACGAGACTGTCTGGTAGGACAGCGCTGTTCTCCAGACAGTCTCGTCCCTTCACCTGATGAAGGCCGCTTGTGTTGTGGCCGAAACGTCGTGATTTTTTGTAAATGTATTTATTTATTTTCACCTACGTGACTTTACCCAATAGAACCAAAGAGTATGGATCCTAGCAGTCACGAAAGCTTTAAATCTAGAATTGTTTTCAGTTACTTGCAATTATGCATCGAATGCCCTCTGTGGCCTTTATTATTTGTAACTGTGAGTCACTATTGAGATCCCATCAAGGCACCCCTCTCTTTCGTGAGGGAGACACTTTGTGTCAAGCCAACAAATTCCCGTTATATTGGAGAAAACTGGCATCTGCCATTGGAGTGTGGACTTTCCGCCACCGACTCAGAGCCACCAACAGCGCCCGCGTGCCAGGTCAGTGCTTGTTTGAACAGTGAGACACCGCCTCATGCACGGATGTGTACACTGCATACACTGTATATATATTTACATTCCGTAACGAAAACCCAACACCAACACTTCAGTGTTGAACTCTCCTCCATTCAAGTTAAGACCTATATAAAAAATATATGAATAGGTGTTACCCTTTATGGCAATAAAACTGGTGATAAGATGTTCAAACACCAAAATAGATACCTTTTTGCAAGTAATCAGGTCTGCATTAACCACACGTACTTGTGGTGAACATGCAAACAAACATGCTCTAATAATAATATATGCATTGTCTTTGAAACGGATTGGCCTACACCAGAGACAGCTTTCTTTATGGCCTAGTATCACCAGTGTCACATCAGAGAAGGCCAAACGGCGAACAGTACAAAGGTAATGCAAGTATCAGATCATTTATAGCTCGGGGTGAGCAGCTATGTCATGGGACCTTTTCGCCAATATGAAAGGATAAAAAAAATATATAGGTTTTACCCTTTCCGGCAATAACAATAATTACATTTATAAAACAGGTGTTAATATATTCTTGGTTGTTTCGGTAAAGTCACGTAGAAGGGAAATAATAAAATATTAAACATAAAACAATACAATTATCACGACGTTTCGATTGCAACACAAGCAATCATCATCAGGTGTGAAAACCACAGCAAGAAAAAAAAGACCACAGCAAGAATTTTTTCTTTTTCTTGCTGTGGTTTTCACACCTGATGATGATTGTTTGTGTTGCAATCGAAACGTCGTGATAATTTTATTGTTTTATTTTTTATATTGTATTATTTCCCTTCTACGTTACTTTACCGAAAGAACCAAGAATATGAATCCCTGCAGTCACGAAAGCTTTAAATCGAGGTGTTAAGATGTTTCAATGCCAAATAGAAACCTTTCACGAGGAATCAAGCCTATGTCATTGCCAGAAAGGGTAAAACCTGTTCTTACTCTTCATCATTTGATATGGGCACAAACAAAAAGGGTTCCATGATAAAGTCAAGACGGTATACAAAATAATGTCACATCTGCGGTTGGCTGCCTCTGCGTGGTCTAAACTGCCTTACGGTGTCGACAGTGAATGCGGTAGGGCGACCACCGCAAATAAATCCTTGGCAACAAAAGTCCCCGAATTATGGGGATTAAGTCCACCGATGCTGACTCATGTCCATTGAGGCAGCCAGGATCCCCAGGCTCACTTTGATGTTAACCTGACCACGCTTGTGTGCCCCGAGCACACACGGGCAGTAAGCAGTTGTCGCTAGGCTTTTTTTTTGCCGAACCAGTGAGGCTCTCTCTCTCTGTGGTTGTGATCCCTGTCCTTCTTTGCGCAAATCTTGCTTTCCGTTTTCGTTTCGAGTAGTCGACACCGAGGAATTGTGAGGTGCATGGCTGAGAATAAATTACATTTTGGAAAGTGAGGGAGTTGGCTGGGATCAACATGCACACCGGTTAAGTAAACTTGGCACATGGGCTGAAGGTCACATTGCGGTAAACTGTTGGTTATTAATACATCTCATCGAGCTGCACTACAATAAAAACACACACACTTCCGCATCCATGATACACGTTGCAGAGACTTTTTCAAGAGGTAATGCATCTCGATAGACCAGCAGCGTTCACTGATTCTCAGAGGGGGAATCTTTCGCCGGTAAGACATTCGTATGTGGGCTGCCACACATTTGAAACCGTTGGGGTTAGACAGCACGACGATGGGGGGTGTTTCACTCGTTGTGTATTTTTGATTTAAAGCTTTCGTGACTGCAGGGATTCATATTCTTGGTTCTTTCGGTAAAGTCTCGTAGAGAAGGGAAACAATAAAATAATAATTATTGTTTTATATTTTTATTATTTTATTGTTTCTCGCTGTGTATTATCAGGGGCCGCACTAAACGCCACCAGGGAGCGCCAGTGGCCCGCGGGCCTTGCAATGAAGAACACTGCAATAGACCAATGCTTTGTTAAACTAGGGGCGATGAACCGTGTACAAAGCGTCGATGTTCCGCAGGTGATGGCGGTCAGGTGACGTGGCCCACCACGATTCCACAGTGTGGAGGCTCCTCCCAGTCTCCTGTCAACATCGACAGTCGATTGGCCAACGTGGACAACACCCTGCAACCCATCGTTCTCCACGGATTTGAAAGTCTCAATGCCGCCTATAGGATGAGAAACAATGGGCACACAGGTATAGCGAACGCCAAACCGGTCTATGCATTTATCATCTTTTTTTACAGCTGGGTAGTGGTATTGGTAGGGCCCTTGCTCGCTCAAGGTTTCACGTTGGTATCCCAGTTGTAGGTTGATGGTCATTCTCTCAGAGTAACACAAAACCAAAACGGGCACCGAATTCTGCGCGAGATTATTTCACACCTTGAGAAAGACCTGGACGTAACATTGACCAAGGGAGTATTATTACACACGAAACACATCACACCCAGAACGTAAACATTTGCAATACAGGGCAGCCACAGTTTTAATAGTTTACAGATGCCATTCAGGCCAGACCTTTGCCCGTGTAGCTCGGGAGATGGCTGGACTGCTGTATGGGTAAAGGTCTGTTGATCTGATAGCAAAGGGTTATGTATCAATGCTTTTCTGCCAGTTAGTTGTACAATATTTGATGTCCATTTATCGAGTTTTGGGAAAGTTAACAGTGGTTGTTCTATGAATACAGATCACCACCATAAACATACTAAATTTCGTCAGCTGGTTCAGGGTCCATTTAACGATATGCTATACTTCCCACTTCTTTTAGCAGGGAGACATGAAACTCAATTTAAAATTTCAGGCTATGATTTTGGCATGGAAGTCATGGAAATTACAAATTTGATTCAAGCGTATGAAAATTTGTAAACGGCCGTTGAACACTAGATAAGGAACGTCCAGGTTTGGACTGGGGCAAAATAAACAGCCCTGGCAACCACGAGCATACGGCCTGCGCAAAATAGTATGATAGTGGCACAGAGGTGGAGACACGCTTAGAAAATAACCACCACACTTCCTTCATTTCTTCTAAAAAAATGCTGTACATCAGAGAGGGACAGCGCTAACCTTATTCTTACTGTCAATTTTACGAAATATGGCCGTGACAAACAGTAGCCTCTGTAATGATAATTGCATCTGTACTTACTCACAGATGCCTCACTGGGTGTTGACTCGTTTCAGGAGTGTCTTATTTGAGATATTTGGAAAACTATATTTGGAATTTTTTTTTGATTCTCTGAGGATATCCACACATCCTCGCAGCGGCTTTTGGCTGGCCATCCAACAAAGACGGTCACTGCATCGCGCGCTTTCAGATGCGCTTCAGCTCTTCCTTCCTATATTAGGATGCCACTGGAGCTATGCACTTTTAAATCTAGATTCAAAACTAATTTATTTAGAACTGTTTTTTGTGTTTAGTTTGTTGTCCTTCCCCCCACCTCTGATGAGCACGGTTGACTACGTACAGTGCGAAAGAAGTTCAACATACATACATATGAAGAAGTTCAACTTCCATACACTATATACACACACGAGCGATTAACGTTCACACTCTGTGGATAGATAGCCAGCATGTCATTGCAATGCAGCTGGGATTGAAATGCATGCCCTGTCTCAACCTGTGTGTTCAACCCACCCCACGTTCCAAGTCGCTGGATCACAAGCTGCGCCTTTGAATGCAGCGGTTTTGCACCGTGTCCCCTCCCCCCATCAAAGCAATAATTGTCGATTGGGGTCACCTGTTACAGCTCATAGCAAGGAGGGCAGCCACCTGGCCGAGCGGCAGCAAATTTACCACTTGTTGCTGAGGTTCACAGTATGAAGCCAGCAGCGTTCCTGGTTAATACGGTTGGGTTTAGTAACAGTGGATGTTAAAGATCCTGCGATGTTATACTGAAAAGTAGGAGGCCCTGTGTGCCAGAATGAGCCTCCAAATTTGATTAATTACGTGCAAATTTCTTAATCGGGTTAAACCACGTAACATAGTCCCCCCCCCCTTGCCGGCAGACTATCCATCTGTAAAAAAAACACAAACTGCGCTTTCGGAATAAACTTGCACCCGAATGACGGCGAGAATACCGCACACACTAAATTGTCGTTGCGTTAAACCCTTTCCCGTTCTGAGACGTCTGCAAGTTGCAGGGTGGGTGTCCCGTTCACCGCTGGATCTCAGAACACGGAAACGGTTCAAGTTAATTTTATTTAGAGAGGCATAGCGCCGTTGTTCTTAAAGGCATTGTACTCTGCAGAAAACCAAAGCGACAGGACCGCACTCTACATAAAAGCGGCCGCCAAACTGTGGCACACACCCTCCCCCGCATGGCCTTGTGGGAGCCTCGGTTCCGATGCCGTTTCGTTTTCGTTTTTCTGTCGGTTCCGAGCGGAAGAAAAAAAGATGACGTGCACGTACGTCATCGGAACGGGAAAGGGTCCGAAAAGAGATATTGCGGGCATTGGCTGCGCTCGTCGTTTTCCCACAGTCAAGGTGTACTTGCCCGAGTCTATGAGCGTCACCACCGGGCTCCCGTCCGAGCACACGGCCTCCCAGCTGCACCTGCACTGGGGCGCGCGCGACGAGGAGCCTGGCGGCTCGGAGCACACGGTGGATGAGCAGCGTTATGACGCCGAGGTGGGCGCAAGAAAAAAACTGCGTTGCGCGATCTTGGCGCAGCGTTTGTGGGCAATAACACGGACGGGAACCTCCGTCCTGTGCCTCCGCATACATACAAAATGCGTTTCAGTCCGTCGACCTTACTGGCTTTCCAGAAGCAATATTGTCCAGCGAGCATTTGTTTCAGAAAGCACACTCTTGATTTGTTTCAACCTCCTGGGTCTCATCAGCAGTCCAGGCTTGTTAATTAAATGCTGTTCGGTTGCCAGATATTATTGGTAAGAGTACAGTCTCAACGACAGGGGCCTGTTTAAGAGGTGGGAGTATGGGAACCGTTAATCATTAACGGGTATCTCAAGGGCAAAACTTAAGGGACCAAGGCAAAGGAAACTGCTGAGTGAAAATGTTCATATCTGTAGTGCAAATGTCACACCATCACCACCACTAGCAAATGCCTCATTTCCATGGCACGTTAAATGTGTCCCTTACCATGCTGTTCCTGGGCCGTTTCCATCCTGTGGAATCCACACGATTGAAAAAGGCGACGACGTAACTATACCATGCACGCAGTTGTCAGTCTTCTTGTCTCTGGGTCAACCTTTAAACCAGCCACCATGTCATGAGATCCACATGGCAGTTAGATCATGTCATGAGAGGCATACACATATTAACTCAGCAGTGTAGAGCTGTATTAATCAAACAAATAACTGCATGGAGTATGAATTGCATTAATAAAAAAATAAGGTTATGTTGCTGTTAAAACCTTTTCCAATTGAAAAGCAGCCAAATAAATTAGAGGGTTATCCAAAACTTGGTGATTCAAAAACAGCAATGAAAGTATTTTTCCTTGCAAGGCAATGCTATTGTTACCATGTTACATTGCCTCCCCTCCCAATGATGCCGTTACGTGCAACATATTGCAATTTTACATGCCACATTGCACGTGACATCCCATCATGTGACTTGGATCATTAAGCGTATTGATAATTCAACACTTCTAATGACAAATGCATGTTGGAAAGCATTACAGAACCCATGCATATACACGGTGTTCTTGTTTAAACCAAGGACCGGTTACAATTAAAAAGCCAAGTGCCTCTCTGCTCTAGTCAGAATGGACCAGCACGCAATTCTGTTGGCAGCCCTAAGCCAGCATTTAAAATTCCACATTCCTCTTTTCTCTGGTGTGGGTCACTCTTCCCACAGAACAACCATTGATGACATGCTACTACTATTTACGATATTTATTTTACCAGGTAATATAGCTCTTTTTCAGAAGTGACCTGGTCACAAATTATCGCTCAACAAAGTGGCTTATCATGTGGAAATGTATAGCAGCCAAATAGTCTAAATGCATGTTTCTAAATGTGGAGGGAAAAATCCACGTGACCACGGCGATAACGTGCAAACTGCAAATATACAGGCATCAGGGTCGGAATTGAACCCACGACCTCCTGTATATCAGGCGAGGTAGTTAACATCTCACCACTGTAGCGCCCATACAGTCACATCTCTGAAACGTATTTATACCTGTACAGCTAGTTTAAGCCAAACCGGCAAAGAGAATGGGACTTTTTGCAGGTGTTTGGATCTGGTCCAAATTATTGTTTTGGCTGTGCCAACTACAGAACTTTTAGGCACTTTGCAGACCCCCTACTTAGCCTTTCATGGACACCCTAATAACGACTGCAGTCCCCTGGACGTTGTGACCCTCGTGACCCTACCATGGCTCGTAGAGAAACGAGCCATGGTAGGGTCACGAGGTTTAGAGTAGAAAGTGCTTCAACGCGAAACACGCACACACGTGACACACGTGGTCCCATTGCAGATGCACGTGGTACTTTACAACTCGGAGAGCTATGCGAGTGTGGCCGAGGCTTTGGGAAAGCCCCAAGGGCTGGCTGTGCTTGGTGTCCTGCTGCAGGTAACGCTATCAGTAATACCAACACCACTGCTATCATCATCACCACCACCTACCACCACCAAAACAAAGACCCCCTCCCCCCCCCCCACGTATGAACTGAACAGACTGTCAGGGCAAGTGCTGTTATCGAGTAGCACCTGTGTGGCCAACACCACCTTTGTCTCCCTAGTGGCGATGTTTACACACCGCACCGGGTACTCATTTGAGGTTGAGTCGACCTAGGGGAGGCCCATGACCGGTTCAGATAATCGTCACTGGTGTTGGCCGTGAGCGGGAATCGAACCTGGGTAGTAGGGTTCATAGTGCAGCGCGCTAACCGCTACACTATCGCTTCCCGTATTGTTACATACATACACAAAGATAAAGATCCCCCATATAGCCTTATGTACTGTTAGCGAGCACCTATGAAGGCCGGAACGGTACACGAGGGGGTGGGTGGCCAGCACCACGCCCGACCGCCTTTGTCTCCCTAGTGGCAATGTTTACACACCGCACCAGGTACTCATTTGAGGCTCAGTCGACCTAGGGGAGGCCCGGGACCGGTTCAGATAATCGTCACTGGTGTTGGCCGTGAGCGGGAATCGAACCCGGGTCACCAGGTTCGTAGTGCAGCGTGCTAACCGCTACACTACCGCTCCCCACATGTATGCACGTACACACTCACATAGACACTTCGTTGAGCGATGATTTGTGGCCAGGTCGCTTCTGCAAAAAGAGCTACATCGCTCGTTGGGCCTTAGCTGATAAAATATAAAAAATGTGTTTATGTTTTAGATAGGCGAAGGTGTGGGAAGGCCGGGAGCACTTCCGATATCACTCGCCACCGATGTTAGCTGAAACCGAGAATCAAACTCAGGGCGCCACGTTCATTGTGCAGCACAACCTCATTATCAACATAGTGTGAGATTAAGTAATTGCCATCAGTGACCTTATCATGCACCTTCCAACGTCGTACAGATGGCTAAATGACTCGATGCCCAGATTCTTGTTTTGTGTGGCGTGTTGCAAAGATATGCGACCGATTGTTTTTGTCGAAAGCAACAAATGTTTAACACGTGGTAGGCTTTCGCGACCAATATCATCCATAATTGCGATTTTTTGGGGGTTAGATCGCGTAAATATATAAATGTGTCGTTAAACCCGCCACCACCCAACACAGCCAACTAGTAGGCCTCGGCAAGGTAAGGTAAAAACAACGAGCCTACCTTTACCCTACCTTACCACAATATAATCACTCTACCCTACCTTTTACCTTTCAGCAGGTAAGGTAAAAGGTTAAAAGCAACGAGCCTACCTTTACCCTACCATTTACCCTAACCCCATACAAATTACCCGATTACAGGGTAATTACTGGGGTACTACACATGAAAAAGGTTTATAACAGGTGAATGCTAGGCAGAGTGCTTTATTCATATAGAATACTCTCGATTATTCCAATTTTACACGCTTTGTTTAAACTCACTCTGTTGTCGTTGTTGTCGTTATTGTATCTTCAAATGTTGTAGCTCAATTTTAACCCACTTCCCAATGTGGTTTCGACTGCGAACTTGGTATACTTATGTCATACTGATGACAATACTATATTATATCATTAAAAATAAAATAAAAATATTTTTAAACATTATTTTTTATGTTATGTTTCGGCTTGGGTCTAATTGTCCACTGTCAACTGACGTTGGCTGTAATTGCCCACGGTCCCTTACGTTATGGCAAGCTTCGGGGCCACTTCCTGGAGTCGTGGAGTTCTGCCATTACTAGTAGGGTACATTTGATAAAAGCGTGTTTTAAAAAAAAGTTTTTTAAAAATATTATTTATTAAATGGAGGCCACGGACTGCGCCACGGAGCTTTTAGCGGTAAACAAGGCACCGTATTTACCGGGTAATACTTCGTGCTACCTTTACCCTACCGGGTAATTCTTGGCATGTCGACATCTTTACCCATTACCCTTTTACCCGGTAAAAAAGGTAAATTACCTTACCTTGCCGAGGCCTGCCAACTAGTAAGGGTTGTGACGTAAACATACCGTGCCAATTCGTCACTAGTACACCGGTGCTTTGGAGAGCCAAGCCACAACATTTACAATCTGAGTACGACGTTTGGCCAGTAATTACAACTAGCTTAAATTTCGATTTAAAGCTTTCGTGACTGCAAGGATTCATCTTCTTTTGTTCTTTCGGTAAAGTCACGTAGAATGAGAATAACAAATAAAATAACACAATAAAATTATCACAACGTTTCGGCCACAACGCAAGCGGCCGTCTTCAGGTGAAAGGAACCTGAAGACGGCCTCTTGCGTTGTGGCCGAAACGCCGTGATAATTTTATTGTGTTATTTTAGTTTTTATTCTCATTCTACGTGACTTTACCGAAAGAACCAAAGAAGATACAACTAGCTTCATCAGGCGACAGCTAGATTTTAACCACATTATCACCATTATGGATGATATTGGTCGCGAAAGCCTACGTCTTATACTCGTGACGAAATGACACGTTCAGTTTACGTGACAACCCTTCCTAGTTGGCTGTGTTGGGTGGTGGCGGGTTTTTTCACGACACATTTATATATTTACGCGATTTAACCCAAACCCCCTGCCCCCTCCACTTATGAGTAACAAATGTCATGAATTAATACCCAGGTTCCTTAGCCATTCGACGGTGTTGCTCGTGACCTGATGATTTTCTTCGGTGCCACCGACTCGATGGTGTTGGCGAGCAGCAGGTGACGATACTTGGACACGCAATTTTACCGCGAGCGATAAACATTTGCCGTTGTGTGAACAGGTCGGCTCACAGGAGCACCCGGCCTTCCAGAAGATTGTCGATGGACTTAAGAATATCAAGTACAGCAGTGAGTTCTAGTGGATGTTGTCTTGAGCGTGGGAGAAGCGCCCTGTGGAACACACCCGTGGGTCTCTGCAGGCCAACTTACCCTCCTCGAGTCTCTCTGCCTTATGGACAGTTTCTTAGCCGAAGTTTTCCCCCATCCTTTCCAATCTTGCACTTAAATCTTAATGTATCCATACAGTCTCTCTCTCTCTCTCTCAGCCGCACTATTGTTTAAGTTGTCTTCTTTTTTCTACCTCTTGGTTTTTAAAATTGTATTTTCTAGTGTCCTTTAAATAGCCAGCTGGTTCAGTGGTAGAGAGAGTGCATCGCAATCGACAGGTTGCGATTTAAAATCCTTGGTTGAGGGTTGAATCAGCCCATCGTCCATCTGGGATTGGCAAAATGAGTACCACTTTATGGGGAAGTCAACAGCGGATGTCTTATGCTATGGATCACTCACTCCGGCCACAGGAACGTGAAATTTCCACTACTGGCGCAGGGCCCTCAATGGTAATTAACGCTTTCCTGTTACTCTTTGGTTCTATTCGGTAAAGTCACGTAAGTAAAAATAAAATTACAAAAAAAACTAAAAAATCACGACGTTTCGGCTACAACACAAGTGGCCTTCATCAGGTGAAGGGACCGGACTGTCCAGAGGACAGCGTTGGAGTGAAGACAACCAAGCCCAGGTCGCATCCTTTAAGCTGTGTGGGAAGAAAACAAAAAACGCCTTGACAAAGGAATTAGCATAAAATGATGGGGGGGGGGGGAGTTTACATAATGTTGGTGTGAAGGGAAATAAGCTGCTGTGAAAGTTTGGGATACCACTACTTGAATAAATATACTGTACCATTGAAAATTAGTTTAATGTTTGGTTTGATTTAGAACATCTTTCCAATGATTGCTTAATTTGAAACCATCCTCTCGGTTGAAATTGTGTCTGTGTTTGTAAATCTGAATTGCCTCGTGGAGAAATCTCTGATAAAAACCCGTGGGTTTGTAGAGAACCTTGGTATCGGAGAAAACGATATCGTGATCACCCACAGCGTTGTAACTGTTACTCAATTGAGCAGTGTGGCACCTTGTATTTGCTGCTGATGAGATTTGTGTTTTTGTGCACGAACACACACGCGTTTTTTAGTTCTCAGAGCAGTTGCCGAGGCCCCGCACGTAAAGCGGCAACCAGCAAACTACACCAACTAAGTTTTTTGTTGTTGTTTAACGGATTAAGAGTTCAATGTCTTGAATCGAGTGGGGTTCTGAGAACTCGCGGGAAACCGCGTGCTTTCCGGTGCGAGCAGATCAGGCTACGGACGTGGGCCCCTTCGAGGTGCGATCGCTGCTGCCCCCCGACCTGGGACGATACTTTCGCTATGACGGCTCCCTCACGACGCCTCCTTGCACCGAGGGCGTCAGCTGGATCGTCTTCAACCAGACCGTCAGAGTCGGCGTCCAGCAGGTCCGCCGCACACTCACGGCCATCGCGGCCACCGCGGTGAAGAGTCGGGTCGCCGCAACATGCAGGACTGGATTAACCCATAGGCTAATAAGGCCATCGGCCCTCGTACTTTGTGAGAGCGTGGAATTTTCTTCAGAAAGCCCTTACTGAAGTCTCATTTATTGTATTTTTAAAGTGTCCCATATTTAGACTTTCGATCAATTCCTTTGTATGCGTTGCACGAAGTATTACCCGGTAAATACGGTGCCTTGTTTACTGCTAAAAGCTCCGTGGCACAGTCCGTGGCCTCCATTTAATAAGTAATATTTTTTTTAAAAACTTTTTTTTAAACACGCTTTAATTAAATATACCCTACTAGTAATGGCAGAACTCCACGACTCCATGAAGTGGCCCCGCAGCTTGCCATAACGTAAGGGACCGTGGGCAATTACAGCCAACGTCAGTTGACAGTGGACAATTAGACCCAAGCCGAAACATAACATAAAAAAGTTAAAAATATTTTTATTTTATTTTTAATGATAGAATATAGTATTGTCATCAGTATGACATACGTATACCAAGTTCGCAGTCGAAACCACATTGGGAAGTGGGTTAAAATTGAGTTACAAGATTTGAAGATACAATAAGAGTAAGTTTAAAGGGAACACATGCCCAAAGTATGAGCAGAAAGAGTATTTGGCTGCTCTAAATTTCCACATGACGATAAGCCACTTCGTCGAGGTATCATTTGTGGCCAGGTCGCTTCTGAAAAAGAGCAATATGGCTCAGTGGGCCTTAACTGGTAAAATGAGAATAAAACATAGTTTAGTTTATTAGATCAAGATTCCATCTGCTGTACTACCACCTCCTTGCCAGTCCATAGCAAAGCAGGCTGGAAGTGCCAGGCCCTTGATGACATCTGCACGATCCATCAACCCCACATTGAGTAAGTGGTGCACCTCCCATACACAGTGAGTTATCTTTCTTCAACAAAGCCACTTTCCTGCCAGGGTGGTTTTACAAGGTACTGGCAGTGATCAACGATAAATGACTTCCAGAACCTGACAATGGGGTGGATAGAGACTAGAATCGACGACGGCTGACTGGAACCGATGGAGACGTTTCTGTGCCACGGAATCGGCCAGTAAGGCTGAACAAGCTTTTTGATTCGTTTTCAGCCGGGCAGCGGTGGCTCTGCATGCCTTTAATCGAGCACTGTGGCAGCAGTTAGGGTTGGTGGATCGCACAAACTCCCTTTCTGTGGGTGTCGAGGTGCCATTCCCTGGCTCACCAGGAGAAAGCAGTACAGCAAGTGGACAAATCGGTAACTGTTTCCATCTGTACGGGGATTTATCGTTCCCCCCTCGTGCGCGTGGCTTTTATCCGGATTCTCTGGTTTCCTCCCACTAATATAAACACTCATCATGAAATTTGTCTGAAAACCCAATGCAGGACCCTCCTGAAAAAGTCAAATGTCCCAGTGTGGCTCTGCTGGATTAATAAGTAATATTAAATTAAAGGTTGTACCACATATTGTTGGGCACAATATGTGTGTGTCCGTGTTGTTCCACATGAAGTCTATCAAGCACACCAAAGAAAAAACACATGCGAGAGCTGTACAGTAGGGCTGAACGATTTGGAGAAAATGTCTAATTGCGATTTGCATTGCAGATATTGCGATTGCGATTTAATTTGCGATTAATTTTTTTAAAGTCAAGCTTCAGTTCAATATTCACTGTGTAATAGATTTAAAACATGTGATGGAGCATTACAACATACTGTACCATCAAAATATGAACTGCTCTATATATTCTAATGCAAAGATATGAATTTCCTCCAACATGTATTTATTAAAAAATAAATAAATAAAACAATCAAACATAGAACAATTCTTAAGTTAAATGAATAAAGTTATAATAATAAAACAATTTCAATAAGAAAGTAATAGGACTTTTCAAATCCCCAAAAATCGCAGCCTTTGCGATTTGCTAATCACATTGTTTCAAATTGCGATTTCGATTTGAAATCGATTAATCGTTCAGCCCGACTGCACAGCACAACCAAAGGTGAGGCTGTGACTTGACTGACCGACTGAATCTGCAATGGAAGTACTGTTGGCTTTTTGTTTGTTCTGTCGCCGTGCCCTGACCCAGCTGGAGGCCCTCCGGACGGGCATAATGAGCACCCAGCAGAACGACAGCCAGCAGGAGCTCCTGGACGCCAACTACCGCCTGGTACAGGCGCTGAACAGGCGCTCCGTGCGCGCGTCGTTTAGAACGTCCATCGCCGTGCGCGGCAAGCCGGGCACAGGTGAGCGTGTGTGTGTGTGCGTGGGGAGCGGTGGTGTAGCGGTTAGCGCTACGCTGCGCTACGAACCCGGTGACACGAGTTCGATTCCCACTCACGGCCAACACCAGCAACGTTATTTGAACCGGTCCTGGGCCTCACCTAGGTCGACTTAGCCTCAAATTAGCACCTGGTGTGGTGTGTAAACATCGCCATTAGGAAGAAAAGGCGGTCGGGCGTGGTGCTGGTCACACCACCCCCTCATGTACCGTTCCGGCCTTTACAGGTGCTCGGGAGCAGCACTTGCCCCAACAGTCTGTTAAGGCTATATGGGGGATCTTTGTCTTTGTGCGCGTGCAATGAAGCGAGCATTTGGATGTGATGACACATTCTCTTGTTGAGCACACCTACAGTTGACGCCATCTGCTTGTGACGTCCTGACGGGCCAGAGTTTGTGAAAGATTAATGCTTCAGATCCTTCCGTTGAAAATGCATGCCGATGCATCACTTTCATTTGAAAGGAACCAAACGGGGTGCTTTGTTGAAACGTCAAAAGAAAATGATATTTTCTCGAGTGTTTATAACATTGTCGGTGGGATTTCTATTTTCCGGCCAGCTAGCGCTTTGCCGTCGACACTTCACTCAACCTGAGCCAATGGTGGACTTCCACATTCCAATGATAGTGCCAATTTATACGAAAGTAAATTTGACAACATCTAAGCAGATGCATTATTATTACTATTATTGTTGTTGTTATTGTTTGGTTAAATACTGCGGTGGGCAATGCCCCTGCCATTGGGCCAGGTTTCAAAGCATCAACATTTCAATTCTCTGCCTCTGGGTCTGTGATTTCTACAAACAGTTAGCAACACTACCATGTGGGCATTGCAGGTTCTTGAGCACAATTCTCAAGAGTAGGATATTGTTTGCAGGTGTCATAGCTCCTAGCTGCTACAGCTCAAGCATGGACTATTTATAACCACGGGAAAATAACAACTTAACACTTTAAAATAAAATGCACTAAAATAACTAGAGTTCCCATAAGTGACACTCATATGTTTCCTTTCCTCTGCTGTACCAAAGTGACAACACGAACTGCAGTTATTCCAGCCATTTGACAGTGTTAATGACAAGTCAAAGCCAACATTCAAAGTACAGGTGAAGCTGGATATATGCACATCTCTTGGGAGCAAGCGAGGTTGTGCTTATATCCAAAGTATGCCTGCATCAGAAGTTGCAGTTGCCTTCCGCCAACACAAGTGTAATGTAAGGGTGTTTTGCTTATACCAGAATTGTGCTTATAGAAGGTGTGCTCATATAAGCCGTTTCCATCTCGCAGCTCATGTAAGTCTGAACCCTTGTTATCACACACTCGTGTGAGTCTAGTCCATCACGAATGCGCCGTGCTGATCACACAGGGTAAGCTCTTTGGAGTAACAAAACTCTCTTAAGTCTAAATTTTGATTTAAAGCTTTCGTGACTGCAGGGATTCATATTCTTGGTTCTTTCGGTAAAGTCACCACGTAGAAGGGAAACTGGCTCAGACTCAAGGATGGGTCCCGAATATCTGCCACCGGTAACCAGGTCCAGGTCCTTGGGCTGGAGACCCCGGCAAAAGCTTGGGGTTGACCTTCATCCAGCAGTGAGATGGTCATGGCTGTCATACATCGCGCGCTTTCAGATGCGCTTCTGTGGCCGTCTGTAACGCTCTTCCTTCCGTTATTAGGAAGCCAAAAGAGCTATGCACTTTTAAACTTAGATTGAACACTAATTTTTTTTAGAACTCCTTTTTGTGTTCAGATTGTTGTCCTTCCCCCGCACCTCCGATTAGCACGGTTGGCTACGTTTGGTGCGAAAAAAGTTCAACACGCATACCATGATTGACGGTGATGATGATGCTGACGCACAGACGAAGCCGCTCCGTGCCAGCAGCCGCTGGAGCGCGGCGGCGAGCGTGGTGAGCGGCGCTGGGGGTTCGACGGCGCGAGGGGCGTGTGCGTGCCCTTCCTGCGTGAGGGCCAGGCCGGCAACGCCAACAGCTTCCCCGACGTGGTGGAGTGCTCACGCTCATGCCTGCCCAATGGAGCCACGCTATTCCCTGAGAGAGGTGTGTGTGTGATTTTTCTGTGCGAGGCGGTCGGTTAGCGCGCTGCGCGAGTTTGATTCCTGCTGACGGCCAACACCAGTGACGATTATTTGAACTAGGCCTGGGCCTCCCCCTAGGTCGACTCAGCCTCAAATGAGTACCTGGTGCAGTGTGTAAACGCCACCACTAGGGAGACACATAATGCCGTGATGTCCCAATCGCACGATCGGCGTCACATCACGAGACGAACAACACATTGGGATCTTTCGCAGAGCAGTGCAAACCCTTGGTGTCAGAGAATGAGTGACCTCTGAGGTCCCCGCAGGTGACCTCTGACCCACACCGAGCAGGGCAGCACTTCCCCTTGCGTTCTGCATTATGAGACCAATCTTTGTTGCATGACGAGTCAGATCGATAAGTCTCAAAGCTGGAAATTAGTCAAATACAGAGCTCCCGTAAACAGATTCAGACAATTGTGTTTTACAGTTGTAACCTTCGAACCAAACGTTTGCTCTAGAATCTGCATTGAATTTCCATTTTGGCTATCAGCAGTGGTGGTGCTGGGCCATTTGGGGCCTTAAGGATAAATTCATTTGGGGGCCCTATATCATTCTAGAAAATCCGAGTAATATGACAGATGAGCTTTCAACAATAGGTCCAGATGTAGTGAGGTAAGAGATATGTAGATCAAAGCACAGGTATAGTGAGATGAAAGAAGAGAGGTGCAGACGATATACGCTATGTATATGAGAGAGATTAAGTGGCTTTTAATTTAAATTAGCTCATGTTATTATGATTTAAATTTGTGTTGATATATGGATGCACCTGTATATATGTTTATATGAATGCGCGGTCCCTTGAGCTGTTTTGGACCCTAAACGTATGCTTGGTTTGCTAACACTTTGTATGTGTGTATGTTGAACTTATTTCGCACCGTACATAGCCAACCGTGATAATCGCAATGAGCCATGATGGAGAGTGAATTTCACTTGGTATTTCGCCTGTAGCTCTCGAGCAATGATCAACGTGCTGTCCCCCACACAGACTTGGCGTGCAAGCTGCCTGCCGATTCGGGGCCTTGCGAGGAGTCCACCTACCGGATCCATTTCAACGCCAGCAATGGGCTCTGCGAGTCCTTCCCGTACTCGGGATGCGGTGGCAATGGCAACTCGTTCCCCAGCACGCAGGCATGCCAACGCCTGTGCGGTGCCCGGGCCATCACGCGCCAAACCTCGAACAATGCCGGTCAGTCAGTCTGTGCCCTAGCTCAGGGGTCGGCAACCTTTTTCAAAGAACAAGAGACATTTTTTAAAAATTGTATTTGTCTCTGACAAAAATTGCTCAAGAGCCGCATCACATGCGGAGCTACTTGTACACACACACAAATCGAGCAGCAGATTTACGGTAGATGACTAACACATTCTGACTCAAACAAACAAAATAGGTGATGGAATAAACTGAGGCTATTTAACGTCCCCCCGTCCCCCCCCCCCCCCGGTTATTTTTTAACAATATAGTTTGACAGTTGTACATTTTGTTGTCACCAAGACATCCCGTGGTGACTCATTCCCTACCACATTCAATCAATTATCTTTACATTAAATGATGTTTTAAGATTTAAGAATTTTACTGAAGTTTCCACGCTAATGTTACATTCAGACTCAGGGAACGAACCCAAGGCAACAAATCGGAGAGGACATACACTCTGACAAGTTCAACCCGTGTCACGTCGAAACGCTGCCGGCGCTCAAGACGCTCGACAAACCTTTGCCTGTTTGACACTCAGTAGGCCTTCCTGACCAATATCATCCACAATAGAGGTTTTGTTGGGTTTCATCGTGTGAATATATAAATGTGCCACCACCCGACACAGCCAACTAGTAAGAGTTTTCACGTAAACAGAACGTGGCCAGTTCGTTACTAGTACAGCACACCGGTGTGTTGGAGAGGAAAGACACAAACTTTACAACCAGCTTCATCAGGCAACAGCCAAATTTTGGCTGTCACCTGATGAAGCTAGTTGTAATTCCTGGCGAAACGTCGCACTCAGATTGTAAATGTTGTGGCTTGGCTCTCTAACGCACCGGTGTGCTGTACTAGTGACGAATTGGCAACTTCTGTTTACGTGACAACCCTTACTAGTTGTCTGTGTCGGGTGGTGGTGGGTTTTAATGACACATTTATATATTTACGCGATCTAACCCAGAAAAAAAAACCCTCTTACAAACCTCTGCCCACGCGAAACAATTGAAACGAGACGGTAAAATCTCAGCAGCAAAGAAATCCGCTTCTCGCAGCACATCGTGACTCCGAATCGTGACAATTCATCACAGCGCTGGTCGGACGAGCACGAGCCCCATCCATCAGCTACAATGCACACGAGCATGGTGAATGACTGTCAATGTACGGCAGCATTTTCTCGGATGAGCAACCAGTCAGTTATTTTGAGCGCGGTTACGATTTACTTTACTCAGTCGGTGTTAGGGGCCGTCCATAAATGACGTCACGCAATTTTGGATGATTTTCCCCCCCCCCCCCGTCACACGGCGTCACAAAAAGTCAGACCCCCCCCCTCAAATATGACGTCACAAAGCTCTGCCACCCCCCCCCCAACCCCCCCCAAAACCATATTTCCATTTTGAAAATAAAACATGCTTCAAATCACTTTAAACTATTGTCATTGTGGTGCGTATTTAATGTGGCGCTGCACTCTGATGTTGTAGGAGAAAACACGTATTAAAAAGGCGTTGGAAATCTTAAATTTAGCATAAAATTCACTTGAAAATATTAAACGTCTAAACTAAAACTGCAGATGTTCAGAATATTATATTGAAATTATGTTATAATTATTGAATATTAAAAGTAATTATAACTATTAGTTCTTTTTTTTAATAACAGTCATAAAAAAATTCAAAATTTATGCTTCTCCATTCTCCCATGGAGAAGCAAAATGCTCCTTCATGGTGACCTTAGTAAATTTAAATAATCAAATATTTAATAATGACAATTAATAAAAATTAGTGTATATTATAACAATTCTATATTTATTTAAAGTTGCGCATTTTGACATGACGTCACATTTCTCAAACACCCCCCCCCCCCCGTCACACATCGTCACAAATGTCTGACCCCCCCCCCCCCAGGTGCGTGACGTCATTTATGGACGGCCCTTTAGCCGCTGCGGGCGGTGACACATTTCTTTTTTGGTTCCTGTTGCTCCGTGCCCCGTGGACCGTTCCCGTTCCGTTGCAATGTGCACTCATGCCCACTTTATCGAGGGCAATATTTCGATTTAAAGCTTTCGTGACTGCAAGGATTCATCTTCTTTGGTTCTTTCGGTAAAGTCACGTAGAATGAGAATAAAATAATATTTTATAAAATAATATTTTATTCTCATTCTCATATTTTATAAAATATTATTTTATTCTCATTCTACGTGATTTATTGATTGATTTAAAAGAGACCCGCCATTGTTAATTGTCAACACCTGCTCACTTTCAGCATCCATAAAAGCAATAATAAAATTGTAAATCCTTTCACTGCTCTGGCACAGCTGATCCCCTTGCCTCAAGGCAAAGTAATTTGTTTCTGTTCTTCAACGCTACACTATCTGTAAATCTGATAACAAATGGTCTTTCAAAACGAGGCATTTCCATAAAGACTAGCAGCTGCTTCATATAGTTCTGGGCATTAACACAAACACATTTCAGACTATCTCAGACATTGCACTTAAGATTGTCGATTATGTTTCCATCTGTTTCCATGTTCGGACCATTCTGTTTTGCAATTGCAAACTCTGAACCAAACATTTGCCGTATTATCTGCATCTAAGATCTGATGTGGATTTAATTTATAAATGTGCAACTGAATTCGTTACTTTGTCTAGCCTATTCACTTCTGTTCAGAGAAGCTTGGCTGAAGAAAGTACTAGGCGTGGGTGGTTTGGGATACACGATTTGGACAATTTATACCTTCAATAATATTAACGTCAAGGTCAACACGAACTTGCAAACCAACGCTGCCGATGTTGATATTAGTACATGAATCAATTAATCAATCAATATCACCTGTGGAAGAAGAACAGATGTTCATTTTTCATCAGCTGTGCAAGCAATGGTGGAGCCAGGATTTTCAGGTAGGGGGGGCCACTCCTCCAGCAATGAAAAATGATTGAGGAGTTGTTAGTAAGTAAGGACTTGCCCCTTTTTATTCGACACGTGTGCGGCGATGGCGCAGCCATCGATCGAGGGTCGAATTCGAACCGCGTTGTGTGATCGGCATCGCGCTCGCTGAAGGTGAATACCTTCAGAGAAGTCGTGGACTGTATACGCAACTGCGCACAATTCTGAGTCACTTATAACTGCTTTGCCGTTACTTATGGACTCAGCCTATGGTCCTATCATCTCATAGAGTCCCTGGCACGTAATAATAATATGCTCCACAGTGGCAGTGGGGGTCGCAAAATGCCGATTTATTACTAATGAAGCCCAATGATCCGATCGAAATTAGGGATATCGATCGGATCATTGGGGATTTCGATCGGATCATTGGGGGGGCACGTGCCACCTCCCCCCTCCCCCCCCCCCCACTGGCTTCGCCAGTGTGTGCAAGGAGATTTTTGTTGTTGTGTATCTTGCATGCATTGAGTTCACATCTCGCCTACACCATTGAAAAAAACAAAAGGAATAGGCAAAAATGAAGTAAAAATATAACTATACTTGTGTTTTGTGTGTCAGCAGTCATTAGTTGGGAGCGGTAGTGTAGCGGTTAGCGCTACGCTGTGCTACGAAGCTGGCGACCCGGGTTCGATTCCCGCTCACGGCCAACACCAGTGACGATTAACTGAACCGGTCTTGGGCCTACCCTAGGTAGACTAAGCGTTACCACTGGGGAGACAAAGTTGGTCGGGCGTGGTGCTGGCCACCCACCCCCTCGTGTACTGTGCCGGTCTTCATAGGTGCTCGCTAACAGCACTTGCCCCAACAGCCTGTTAAGGCTACACGGGGGAGCTTTTGTCTTTTTTTTTCCCCAATCATTCGCGACTGGGCTGGTATCCAGCTTTAATCATGGGCGGCTGCCTTGAATCAACCCAGCATCTCAGCAGTGCCAAATCCTGATGCTCTGAACCCTGAGCCATCCGACTGCCTCTTTATATATATATATTTTTTTTATAACTTTTAATTGTGCTCGCGCGGGAGACTATACTTCGTTATTGCCGTCATTGCTGTGTATCAGCCGCCGTGAAAGGTCGACGGTGATGTGCTCTGTTTTCCTGTCATCCCCGCAGCTTCAGAGCCAGCGTGCGAATGTGCGGGTGAGTGACGTGGACATCCGCTCGCATTACCTTGGCAGCTTGGTGGAAATCATCCAAAGCGCGAGCACTCTTAGAGTTGACACCTACACCCCCCGTATTTGTTGGAAGCGTTAAAGGTAGATTACAGTCACTCTTCTAAGCTACTTCATTTTTTGTTTATGAGCTCCGAGTGAGAACTTAAACAATGACAACCAAATAAATGTTGGTACTACCCAATGGTAGGGTTGTTCGCTTTCATAGTCGTGTACAAAGCAGAGGCTGGAAAGTGCCTAACTAACCCCTCTCATCACCATGAACAATGCCTTCCTTCAAAAGCTATATATACAGTATATACATTAGGCTAACAGTTTGGACAGTAGTCTCCATTCAAAGCTGTGACGGGGCCATTGCCTGATACTTTAAGCTACGACTGTAAATATAATTTCTTCAGTTAAAAGATTGCCTTAACAGCAATATGTCAAATTTTGACTTAAAACTTTCGTGACTGCAGGAATTAATATGCTATGGTTCTTTCGGTAAAGTCACGTTGATATAAAAAAATAATAATACAAATAAAGTGATTAAAAATATCACTTTTTTTATCTACGTGGCTTTACCGAAAGAACCATAGAATAACAATGTCACACTGTGATTTGTCCCATGTAATTAGTGCCTCGAATAGAATACAATTTAGACACGTTTTACTTGTTACCAATTTAATACAAAACCCCTGCAGCGTAATACAGGGAGGTGTCGGTTCAAGTGTTGGTGTCGGGGTACAATAGCATGGTCGCTTTCCAACACTCAGGCTGTGTAGTCAAGGGCGATGTTTTCAGTGCCTCCTGTGATCACACATTCACTGAGACACGCCCCACCAACTCTCCTTATCGCCAGACTACTCACGGCGTTGGGGCTGCTATAGCAATCATCTCATAGAGTAATCGCACTCCAATGTGTTTATATACATCTGTATAAATATACGTAAATGTGCTTCATTGTGAATACTGGTTTACTTTTTCTTCAAATAATTGGATTGGAAAATGATTTGTCAAAAACACATTCCTGCGGAGGGAGCTGGTAGGAACGTTGGGTTGCTCGGTCAATGGCCAGGGTCAACAGCGGCACGTGGTGTATTCCGCAAATATGTCCGACTGTGAGGGCGGGCACAAGCCGGCGTGAGTAGGTTAAACGTTGAGTTTTATAAGGGCACCACGGGGTGACTAGCCCCTCCCCACCCAGCCCCACCCCTCCCACCCCCCACTCAGCCCCACCCTCCCCACTCAGCCCCTCCCCACCCAGCCCCTCTCCACCCTCTCCTCTCCACCCAGCCCCACCCTCCCCACCCAGCCCCTCCCCACCCTCCCCTCTCCACCCAGCCCCACCCTCCCATTTTTGGATGCACGACGGACACAATAATCCCCTGTGGGCTGGTGGTGTAACCAGGAGGTTCCTACCAGTATTAGTGTCTGGAAGTGCAGCAGTCACACAGTGGTGAGTTCACTGCACTATGAGCCCAGCCACCTGAGTTCGAATCTCAGGCATGGCTGATACCAGCGGCGAGTGATTTAAGAACCCGTTCTGGGAACCCCCTCCCTCTTTCACCAACCCGCACTTACCAGAGTGGTGAAGTATGGTCAAACAACTCCCTTTAGACCCACGCAGCATGGGGAGGCCTTCATATAGTGGAAGACTGACACATTGCAAAAAAACTAATTATTTCGTATTTCATGTTTTGGCAGAGACAATATTTACTCTTTATCCCCAAATGCTTTGCCATTTGGTTCTTGAAGGGCTGAAAGAATATCGTTGTTCGCACGCCAGCACAAAAACGCACGCAAGATGCACCGTCTCGATCTCTTCCCCCCCCCTCCCACCTTCCCTCGCTCAGGAAACACAACGGCGATCATTCTGGGTCTGCTTCTGGCCGTGACTGTGCTGACATTCTTCATCTACTTCTACCGGCAGCAAAAGAGGTGTGGCTCGTCACAGAACGCGCGCCGCAACGCGGGTACCCGGGGCGGCATTCAGGTGACGACGAGCAGCCAGCTGCAGGGCAGCAGCGCTCTGCGCCACGGCGCCTACGACTGCCAAGAGCAGGAGCGCCATCATGACCATGACGCTTTGAGTCTACAGGAAAGGGGGTCGCTAATTGTGAAAAGTTCACTCAGTTTGAAGTGAGTAGTGTGCACAATCACACATGATGACGTGCTCGGAGTCAACGGGCAGTGCTCATCTCCGTTAGCGGTGGAAATGCCACATTCCTGTTCACTTTCCCGATAAAACTAGTGTCTGAAAATTATACTAATTTCGTGGACCTAAGGGGGAGGGGGGGGGGGTATTAGCAACGGGATTAAAATGAAAAAGTTTAACAATTTAAATTTTTGTTAACAGATTTTTTTATATAAAATTCCGAGCAACAATTGTACATCTTACATTCCAGAGTTTTTTTGCATTGCTCGCAGGTGAAATGAGGTGCCCAGAGTTTGTCTTGATCCCCGACAGGCATGCCGAAATATGCCTTGTAGGCCTCACACATCGTAGCAGATGCTTCCACAGAGTACTTTGTCGCTCTTGTCTTGATAAATTGGCCGCAGACATAGCAAAACGCGTCTGCCGGATGCTTGCAGCCTCTTGATGCCATCTCAGAAAAATGCAGATATGGATCCACTTAGGCAGCTGCAACTAAACTGAACTGGTGGGCTTAAGGCCCCTGTATTTACAGTGAGGGAAAAAAGTATTTGATCCCCTGATGATTTTGTACGTTTGCCCACTGACAAAGAAATGATCTGTCTACAATTTGAATGGTAGGTTTATTTGAACAGTGAGAGACAGAATAACAACAACAAAATCCAGAAAAACGCATGTCAAAAATGTTATAAATTGATTTTCCATTCTAATGAGGGAAATAAGTATTTGACCTCTCTGCAAAACATGACTTAGTACTTGGTGGCAAAACCCTTGTTGGCAATCACAGAGGTCAGACGTTTCTTGTAGTTGGCCACCAGATTTGCACACATCTCAGGAGGGATTTTGTCCCACTCCTCTTTGCAGATCTTCTCCAAGTCATTAAGGTTTCGAGGCTGACGTTTGGCAACTCGAACCTTCAGCTCCCTCCACAGATTTTTACATGGGATTAAGGTCTGGAGACTAGCTAGGCCACTCCAGGACCTTAATGTGCTTCTTCTTGAGCCACTCCATTGTTGCCTTGGCCGTGTGTTTTGGGTCATTGTCATGCTGGAATACCCATCCACGACCCATTTTCAATGCCCTGGCTGAGGGAAGGAGGTTCTCACCCAAGATTTGACGGTACATGGCCCCATCCATCGTCCCTTTGATGCGGTGAAGTTGTCCTGTCCCCTTAGCAGAAAAACACCCCCAAAGCATAATGTTTCCATCTCCATGTTTGACGGTGGGGATGGTGTTCTTGCGGTCATAGGCAGCATTCCTCCTCCTCCAAACACGGCGAGTTGAGTTGATGCCAAAGATCTCCATTTGGTCTCATCTGACCACAACACTTTCACACAGTTGTCCTCTGAATCATTCATATACTCATTGGCAAACTTCAGACGGGCATGTATATGTGCTTTCTTGAGCAGGGGGACCTTGTGGGTGCTGCAGGATTTCAGTCCTTCACGGCGTAGTGTGTTACCAATTGTTTCCTTGGTGACTATGGTCCCAGCTGCCTTGAGATCATTGACAATATCCTCCCGTGTGGTTCTGGGCTGATTCCTCACCGTTCTTATGATCACTGCAACTCCACGAGGTGAGATCTTGCATGGAGCCCCAGGCCGAGGAAGATTGACAGTTCTTTTGTGTTTCTGCCATTTGCAAATAATCGCACCAACTGTTGTCCCCTTATTCTTAGCTCTTTCGGTAAAGTCACGTTGAAGGGAAACAATAAAATAATAAAAGATATATTAAACAACAAAAATTCTCACGACGTTTCGACCATAACACAAACGGTCATCATCAGGTGTGGAAAAACCAACGGCAAGAAACATTTGAAAGAAGTGGTGGTCCGCATTTATTTATTTATTAAAGGTGTATTTATTTATAAAAAAACGTTAGCGCCACGCGCAGCGATTTGGCAGTTTATTAAGAAGGACGAGTCCATCTATGTTCTGAAAAGAGGAGGGGGAAGACGAAAAATTAATGTATGCTGTCTGAAAGCCACCGTAAGCGTGAACAATCAATTAAGACCTGAAATGGTTTATCAAATCCTTCCAATGCTTGGCAATGGTCTTGTAGCCCATTCCAGCCTTGTGTAGGTCTACAATCTTGTGCCTGACATCCTTGGAGAGCTCTTTGATCTTGGCCAAGGTGGAGAGTTTGGAATCTGATTGATTGATTGATTGCTTCTGTGGACAGGTGTCTTTTATACAGGTAACAAGCTGAGATTAGGAGTACTCCCTTTAAGAGTGTGCTCCTAATCTCAGCTCGTTACCTGCATAAAAGACACCTGGGAGCCAGAAATCTTTCTGATTGAGAGAAGGTCAAATACTTATTTCCCTCATTAACATGCAAATCAATTTATAACATTTTTGACATGCGTTTTTCTGGATTTTCTTGTTGTTATTCTGGCTCTCACTGTTCAAATAAACCTACCATTAAAATTATAGACTGATCATTTCTTTGTCAGTGGGCAAACGTACAAAATCAGCAGGGGATCAAATACTTTTTTCCCTCACTGTATACTACTATTTATCTTACTGGAAAGTTCTAGAATGCTCTAGAAGTTACTCCAAGTTTACTCAGCACTGAAGCTATCTAGAATATTCTGGAAAATAGGTAAATTTCAAAATATCACTGTCTTGGTCACAAAAGCAACGTTTTTGGGGAATAATAGCCATTTTCTGTACTTTTGAGCCGTAAGAAATTAGGAAATAACACTTACTACCCAGGAACAAAAAAAATTGTTACACAGTGTTATCAGCCCTCGTCGCCAAATAATGTACACCGACAATCATATTTTTTTTGCATATTTGCCGCTCTTAACTGTTCGACAGTCACGTGTAAAAGCATTTGCGAAATAAATAAATTGCTCGCTAAAAACATTGTAAACGGAAATGCTGCCATAGTGCGATGGTCGGAGCCACGGGGACTTGCGATCCAGAGGTCGCCGGTTCGACCTCCTGGCAGCAGTTGAAATGCCGGACAAAGTTGTTCCCCCTCTGCCTCTGTCCACTCAACGGTATAAATGGTCACACCACAGTTGGTCACAATCGGCAGGTCGTGCGCGATGGGATAAATTGTTGGTGCGGTACCTCCAACTCTTACCAAGCCTTCAGGCCGGTGTGGAAGAGTAGGCCGAACAGGGGTCAGCAACCAACATAACGGGATTATTCATAATAAAGGTTTTTGGGTTAGATCGCGTTATTTATAAAAGCGTCGTAACCCTCCACCACCCGACACGGCCAATCAGCAAAAAAAGTGTCACGTTGACAAAAGACAAAATAGTTCACTACTTTAGCCCACCGGTGTGTTGAAGAGTGAATCCACAACATTTACAGTTTGAGTACGACGTTTCGCTGGTAATTACATCCAGCATCATCGGGCAATTCGCCAGAATGGTAAAGCCCTCACTTGCTCCAGGATTATAATGTTTTTTTTCCGAATTCGGTAACAAACAAAAAACCTATTTCAAGATCCGCAATGCATGCGAATACAAAACGGTGGTCCTGAATAAACAACTGCCACGAAGCAGTCCTTAGAGAGCCACCATGCGGCTCTGGAGCCGCAGGTTGCCGACCCCTGCTCCTGAGGTGTCTACGTATTCATTCTGAACATGTGCGCATGGACAAAACCACACGATTTCGGAGCCTGACTATTTGGCTGTGGGTACACGTCATTCACAGTCAGTCCTATTGGCAGGTCGGATGGTGGGGGAAAGTGTGGGTACTCCAAACTCTTTCAAGATGTCTGGCCAGCGTGCAAGAACAGGCCGAATATCTTGTAGAGGGAGAGCTCTCGAGCTCACTCTAGTGGAGCAACCTTCCGTCAGCAGTGGCTTGAGCAAGCAATTGCAGAGCTGCACCTTTATCTTTTAACAAACGACACAACGATTGGGCGTAAGTTGAGGGCAGCGGAGCTTTTTTTTTTTATCTGCGGCGCTTGACAATAATCCACTCGACCGCATTGGACGAGATGGCTACTGTGGGGGGGGGAAGAAAATTCAGCCGCTTCAGGCTGACGGCGAAAGATTTCCTTGAAATGTATCCGGCACGTAGCACCTGCTAGGACGTTGCGGCGGTGTCACATGGCACGGCGACAATGAGGGCCTTGTTCCGGAGGTCATGTCCGTCCATGGGAAAACGTGCTCAGCCTTTGTTGCGAGAGGCCTTTGGCGACCCCAGGTATTGTCTTTCAATTGAGGGGAAAATGTTGCCTGCAATAAAGCAGCACCCAGTGCTTCGTGCTTAACTCGGGTTCAAAGTAAAAGGAGCCAGTGCGTAAATCCTTTTTGTACAAGCACGGTTTTTTTCTCATTCGATTCGTGTACATCATTGGCTCTGTCCGCAATCAAGTCGGTGAGGTGGTGCTCACCCCCCATCGGCAAACCTGAGCCAGTGCTGGGAATTCCACATCCCGATGGTGGGCGTCAGTCTGCCCACAATGCAACTCGTCTTTGATGTTACACAACATGGAAGTCGTTGAATTGACCACGGATATATAATAGGTTGAGTCAAACCCCCAACTGGGATTGAAACTCACACGTTTTTTTTTGTATTTTGAGTCCAGCACAATAACCTCAGGAAATACTGCCATAGCTTAATGGTTAGCACACTGGACTTACAATCCGGAGGTCACCGATGTTAAATCTCCCAACGCAGCATTTAAAACAATGGGGCAAGTTTCTGTACTCCCTCCCGCCTCAAAAGTAGAAATGGGAAAACTGCTGTTCGTCAATCGGCAAGTTATGTGTAATGGGGGTGAAGTGTAAGTATTCCCACCTCTTCCGAGACATCTATCCAGCATGGAAGAGGAGTTTCCTCTAGTAGAGGCCCTTCCTCTAGCAGTGGAGTGAGCAAGGTTCGTACGGGGCTGCATATTCACATTTTACTCTGTCCCCAGTGCCAGCCGGCCAGCTACGATGTACGGAATGTAAAATAGCGGCGACGACGATGACGATGATGTTCTTGACTGTAAATATATATTGTGTGACTTTGTATTCCTGTATACGGAGGGTTGAGTGTCTCCGGTGTGTTTGGCAGGAAACAGAAGGCAGCCACGGAAAACGCAGCCATGTACACACCGGCCACGACCAAGGAAACCATCTAAACTTGCCAGAAGTCTCCTCCAATTGTCAGAAACACAGCTCAAAATCTCCTCATTCGTGCGTTTTGGAGTATCTGCTGCCCTCTTTGATGCAGCAGGAAATGGTTGAGTGTCTCTACTGAATTAATAGGCGACGTGGTCGTATTTTTCGTTGCCGTTAATTTAATGTATGAGATGTGGTTAAGGGACCTTATGTCTTCGCAGCCTTGATGTTATCGTTGTGACGCGCTCGATCGAGTGACACAGTTTATGAAGCCCAATTAGACAAGTTGTCACTAAGGTTTCACACTCACGGGTTTGCCATTTCCTAAACACAAAAGTTGTCTAATAGCAATAACTGTTGTGCAACTGTGATCACGCTTTTATGAGAAAAAATCATAGCGCCGTACGTACAAAACCAAGGCCAAAACTACTTCATTATTCACGGCCCATTCTATGTTTTATTTTGTTTTACCAGAACAGACTATTCCAATAATTGCAGATTACTTATATCCTTGAAATAATTCAGCCTTATGATAAACACATATCATTAACAACGGATTCTACGTACTGAATATGTATACAAAACTACATCATGGGACCTCCTTTGCCAGTCCCAAAATATGAGAATAGGGTTTTCCCATTTTTTCTGGCAACAGAACAGGTGTTAAGTTGTTAAAACACCAAACTGAAACCTTTTAGAAGGAATCATGTCTGCATTAACCACAATACTTGTGGTCAAAATGCAAACAAAAAACATACTCTGATAATATATGCATTGTCCTTGAAACTGATTGGTCCACACCAGAGACAACTTTCTTTTGAGCCTCGTCTCAAACGGTGTTAGAACAGAGGACACCTTAAGACGTACAGCACAAAGACAATGCACTATCAGAGTAATGAGAGCTCGGGGTCAGAATCTACATCATGGGACCTCCTTTGCCAGTACCAAAATATGAGAACACCGTTTGAGACGAGGCTCAAAAGAAAGCTGTCTCTGGTGTGGACCAATCAGTTTCAAGGACAATGCATCATATTATCAGAGTATGTTTTTTTGTTTGCATTTTGACCACACGTATTGTGGTTAATGCAGATATGATTCCTTCTAAAAGGTTTCAATTTGGTGTTTTAACAACTTAACACCTGTTTTGTTTCCCAATAAAAGGGGAAAAACCTATTCTCATGTATAGAAATGTTAAAAAGAACTTGGTTTACTTCGGCCAACTCTTGTGAGTAACTTTATTGACCTTAATTTGAGCAGCGTGAGCTTCATTACACCATGCTCTACATAACCTACCTTCGTCATCCCCAGCCGTGATCAATTCACTGCTGGATGAAGACCTCTCCAAGCCATCACCATCACCCACGATAACCGTGATGTTACAATCCACCGAGTACCCACACACACGCAGGAGTTCATTGCTCCGTCTCCCGGCAGCCCCATCACTCACGCACCTTATCCCTGCCAACACCATGAGGCGCTGTTGGCTGAACACGCAATGTAAGTGTGGTTGCATCTATCCTTAGACCCCAGCGATCTTGGCACGTCCACAAGACAATCGAAGTCAAATTTCCTACACGCGAGCCCACTTGTAATTGAGTAGATACAATTGGTTCATGCAGGCTCCCCGTGCCTATCAGTGAGCAAGCGGCAGGCACGTGTGCGTTCACTGTCGGGTGTTTGAACAGCACGCCACATCATCAATCCCCATTCTTGCAGCTTCCAATGGTGTGCACCGTTACGCTGTGCACAAACAATAACGCCGAACCATTACTTGAGTCGTAAAGACGGATGGTGTGCTGACAATATAAACTCATCACCCCGTAACCTCTGAGCAGGCTGGACGCCACTGCGATCGTCATCAAGCAGCACAAGCGACAGCAGGAACACGTGGCACGTGCTTGCGCATCGGGGGAATTCAAGTGTATGCACGAGTGGGGAGGTAAACAAACGCCTCTTTGTTAGATGAACCACTTGCAAATGGAGTGCTGTATATTAGCTCAACGAAGGCAGCGTCTCCCCACCCCCCCTCCTGTGCAATGTGGCAGTGCTCATCTCTTGAAGCCCCCCTCCCCCCGCCCCCGGAGCTCGTGGTGGAAATTCCACATTGCGATGGTGGGGACCAGTCCATCCATAGGACAACTAGTATTGATTTCCCACAAAAATGGTACTTATTTCTCACGGAAGGACGTTGGGCGAAGCTGACCTCTGGCTGAGATTTCTGACTGTTCAAGTAAAATTTGTCGAACCAGCTCTCAGACTTAGAGACTCGGTTGGTCTCATTTTCGCGAGTGACATGGGTCGCCAAAACGACAAAAGAAAAACAAATAAAATCGAAATATGCATCAGGACAAAAACAGCCGACTGTGATTAGAGTTTTCTATCGCAGCTCCATTCAGCCAATATAATTTTAAATCACCCCCGATTTGTATTGTCGTTGCTGATGCCTTGAAATAAACACATGGCTGCCAAATGCCAATGCCAATTTTTACACCGCATATACTGTAGAGCATTGATTTTTGTTTTCTGTTGGGATACTGTTTTTAATAGGATAATCATTGATACGTGCATACATTCTAATTCTAAATTTCAATGTACGGTGGTGAATGGTAATTGTGATGTCGATACTGAAATTATAGTTGCCATGAGAAGTGGAGTGTGTCTGTATTCCCTTTCTCACCATGCACCATTCACTCTGTGATCCGTGACTTGACTCGTTTAAGTTTCACTTGTTTTCCACGCTCCTTTCCACTGGCAGCCATGGGCCATCGGCGGAAATTCAACATTGATGGCCCAAACATACAAAGTCGATGCATGCCTTACCGCGTGGTGGCGTTTCAGATTGCCCAGTTCCTCGAGTCGTGCTGTAATTATTGAATGCCTTGCTAAAGAGATGCACGGACTCAGTAGGCTGTCACCTGGTGATAAAGATCACCCGTTTCACCAGGTGAATGTCATCTAACATGTGACGGGTCTCTTTTTTGCCAAAGGAGACTTCAAACCTTCCAATTTTTTTTCAGAGCACCACATTTAAATATTTGGTCTCTGATGAAATCCGCCTCCCTCTCTCAATCTGCCATCTCTGTCGTCAGAAGGGCAAAGGGTCAAAAACCTCAGCCTCCTTTGTGTTTCCTGTTACAAAGCGGCGCTAATGAGAAGGCACGTGACGATAAATCAATTCATAGATCCATCTAAATTACAGTGTTATCCTCACATCGTTACGTTTAGGCTACCGAAAACGAGGGGCGCAATACAAGAGATAAAGAGACGGTCTGAGCCTGTAGCAATTACCGCACTGTGCTACGAAACGTAGCGAACCGAAGTTTCCTTCCTGCTCGTGGCCAACACCAGTGACGATTATCTGAACCAGTCCGGCGCCTCCCCCAGGTCAACTCAACCGCATATGAGTACATGGTGGGATGTGTACATGTCGCCACAAGGGAGACAAAGGCGGCCTGTTGTGGTGCTGGCCAACCCACCCCTCATGTTGCCGTGCCGGCCTTCATAGGTGCTCGCTAACAGCACTTGCCCCGACAGTTCGTTAAAGCTATCCGGGGGGGGGGGGGGTCTTTATCTTTGGGGGTGGCGGGTGTGGAAGTGATAAGGGTGACAAAGGGCCAGTCGCAGCGACGTGAGAGATGGTGACAGCTCGGGGAAGATCTTCATCCAGCGGTGGACTCACTATGGCTGATTCTGATGAGCGGTAAGGGTGTGAGGTGTATTTGCCCGAGGCCAGCCTAGATACAGGGTGTTTGAAAGAGATTGACCCAATTTCAAAGCGGTATATTTCACGATAGCAACATGTTACAATTGCATAAAAAGTTACAAACGGTTTAATGAGTTATCAAGTTTTACGACCCATTTTGTGAATGCTCTATGTGCCCTCCACCTGCTGTACGGACAATATCGAGACGAGAGTTGAATTCGTCCCAAACGCCTCCAAAAGTGTCTGCTTCGTAGTCGCCCTGTGCTCTTCCCCTTACATAAACAGCAGCCCGTTTCCTCAAATTGTGGGTACCAACGACGAATGCTCTTTGACATTGGCGGATCAATGCCAAAGCGCCGTTGAAACGCAGGCTGCACCGCAATTACGGATTCAGTCTTGCTGAACTGCAGAACGCAAAACGCCCCTTGTGTTGCGGGGGTCACCGTCTGGCGAATGACTGAGGCTAGGGGCTGTTTGTGCGCTGGGAGAGGCATCTCGCGGTAATCCTTTGAAACTCTGTGGCCCGCCCTTTCAAGTGGTAAGAGTTTCATTCATGGGCGGTTCGTGGTTGCAGAGATATAGCGATTTCAAATCGGGTCCATCTTTTTTAAAACACCCTGTACTTTTGAGATTCAGAGTGAGTGTCCACAGGAGCCTTCATCATCACTTTCAGAGTGCATGCTAGGGGTGAGTGAGTTATGACCTTAAGAGGAAACAAACCCGCTGCTGGTTTACCGCCTTGGTGAAGGTCTGTCAGGTGGAGGCACACCACGGAGTGAAAACAAACAAAGACTGAAAGTAATCCACGCAAATCTATGTTCATTATTTAGCCGCCAGTTTACTCGGGGGCCGCGCTCAATAACCGGCGAACGAGGCACGAAATCATGCCCATGTGGCTCACTGCTTAATTGCAGCCGGGTTCAATTGCCCTCAATGAATGGGTAATAATTACTTGCAACAAAGCAGGGTGCCGTCATAAACAAGCTGTACAACAACCTTCGATCGTTATTTTTTTTTTAAAAAGACGTTGTTTTATGGAGGTAAACTGTAACACATTTGGAAATGGTACAATTGTGTGCTGTTAAATATGCAGTCGCTTATGACCAAATCACCCGGCTTGTGCTCCGTCTTGTGACGTCTCAGAAACTCGGCAGGTTTCAGCCTGGAAGGTGCTCGGATGGGCGATCACCACGCACACCACAGGTAACACGTGTGTTGTCCTGTTACACAGGTAACACGTTGTGTTGTCCTGTTACACAGGTAACACGTTGTGTTGTCCTGTTACACAGGTAACACGTGTGATGTTCTGTTACACAGGTAACACGTGTGATGTCCTGTTACACAGGTAACACGTGTGTTGTAGGTTGCTGCTGCTGCTGGACTACGTTGTCAGCTGGGGGCAGTGCAACAAGATCCATTGCGTTACTGAAACTTTGCTCCAACATTCTCCGCCTTTAAACCACACTGACCAGCGTGGTGAAGTGTGATGGGAAAAATAATAGGCTTTAGCCTTTCTGGCAATGAAACAGGTGTTAAAATGTTCAAACACCAAATATATACCTGTTGAAAGGCATCAGGGGTCTGCATTAACCAGACGTAACCTGTGGCAAACACATGCAAACGAACATGCTCTAATAAATTTTGACTTAAAACTTTCGTGACTGCAGGAATTAATATTCTTT